ATTTAGCTCAGTGGTTTCGCCGCCTGCTGCACAAGTGCAAGGACCCAAGTTCGATCCCCGGTACCAAATAAATAAATAAATAATTTTTTTTAAAGCACATTGGCTTGGTATGAAGAGCTCTGATCACGGATCCAACTCTTCCCAGTCTCTGTGGTCTTCATCACAGCAGTTCTCTGGGCCTCATTTTTCCCTTCCAAGTAAGGAAGCTAGACTATCAAATCTCTAAGGTTTTCTCTAATTTTAGAGCTTTATGGTTTTACTTTTATGCATTTCCATTGTGGCGCTGGCCCAGAAATGTGCTGTTCCATTTCCTCACAGTCACATAGCTAAAGCCCGAATTGGAAGCAAAACTCTCTCCCTCTTCTTACCAACACCTGGCATCCGCAAGGTCTTCAGGAGAACTGGGGCAAGCAGGCAGAGCCCGCAAAACCACACCCTGAGCGAACAGATGCCAGGATTCCCCAGCTCAGGACCCCCGAAGACTGGGAGTTCTCACTCTTTTTTTTCTTATCATGCATAATTTTATTTACAGAACTAGAACTATTTCCTTAATCACCTTGATTACAAAAACAAATTAACATGGTATGGTTTAGTAACCTTTCATAAATAGATTTTACAAAGTTTAACAGTCAGCAGATTGCTACTTAATACTCAGTAATAATACACTTAGTAACAACTTCTGAATGTACATGGGTGTGAAAAATTCGAGTGATGGGACTGTCACATATGAGTATTTTTTTTATAACTCAGAAATAGACAACTGGCGGCCAGGGATTTAGCTCAGAGGTTCGACCACCTGCCTGGCAAGCGCAAGGTCCCAAGTTCAATTCCCAATGCCAAAAAACAAAAAAAGAAAAAGAAATAGACAACTAGGTTACTAGTCAAGTGTTAATTCTCCATCCCTGGTGAACTGACTTAACCCACAGGTCTTACCCCGTGTGGGCATTTTAATCATTTGAGTTTATCTTTATTGCTGCATTTAATAAGACCACATCAAGCACATCTGAAAACCAAGAGTTTGTCATGACTATTAGGATCTATAGAAGAATTTATCACACAGTGTATCAGAAAAATGGCACCGACTAAAGTCACATGATGAACATCCAAACGCCCCTGTCACACAAAAAGTCATCATTTCACTGCTTTTGTGAAGCGCCTATGAAATGCAGTATTTTCCAGAGGTCACTTAAGGGTGCTGCCACAGTGCTGATGTCTCTCTTCCTAACACAGGTCACTTAGGGAATGGTGAAGACCCTGGGGGTCTCCTCACCCCACCCACTCTCACCGGGGCGTCTGCTTCCTTCAGTGCGGAAGTAGCTGGTTTGTATCTGCGCATACACAGTTCAGAGGCCACACACAGAACTTGAGACAAAAGAGACTGACAGTATAGTTGTTACAGATATGCAGAGCTCTGTACTGTAAATGTAACCAAACAACTCCCAACACTTCAACAGTAATGTATAATTACAAAGCGAAAGAGCAGCAAATGAAAAAAAACACCATACACAGTAAAGCAGGGCAATGTAGGGATAACTGTGCCTCCCTTGATCTGGTGGGAACTAGAACTATCCACAGGTGAACAAATAGGACAAGAGCTTTGAAAATCTGTCCAGAACCACCCAGACACCAGAGATTTAACCACAAATATACCGAACTGGATTCCTCTAGTTGCCTGCTAATTTTTACTTATGAAAACTAAATTTTAGTCTACTTTCACAACCATTTAAACAATGATTGGTAGCTAGTCCTTACTGATCTAGAAGTAAAAGTCTATGAAATGTATTCTTCGCCTCCATTTTCCTCATCTGTAAGATAATATTCATTCCTACCTCACAGGATTGTCTTAAGGATCAAATGATAAAACAGGTTATAAAAATATTTTATGAACTACAATAGTTTATATATTTTGCAAATATAAATTATTATCACGAAATCCTGAGGTGGCCTGGCTAAAAGAGCTGGGCAATCTTTAGCTGCTATGAGCAATAACTTGAATTTTGTAAGAGATCTCAAAGGATCCTTGAAAGATGAGGAATTTTAACAAATGTTAATATTTAGTTGAGCAATTGAAATTACAGTTATTTATAAAACATTGTTTAGAAATTAATGTATTAGATACCAGTTCCCCCCAAACAAGTTATTGTGTTTTACAAACATATACCAATAAAAATCAAGAAATAATTTTTAAAAAGAAATGAACAGGGCCAGGGATTTAGCTCAGTGGTTCCACCGCCTGCCTCGAAAGCACAAGGACCCAAGTTCGATCCTCGGTACCAAAAATAAATAAATAAATAATAAAAAATAAAAAGAAATGAACATACTGCAAATGTACCAATCTATGGGTCTGTGTATATTTGACGAATGTACATGAATTTCCTCACAAGTGCGGTTTGCTTGTGAGGAACCCAATCTCTAGTTTCCAATAAGCAACTGTTGACATGAAAGAAGCCAAATTTTCACATTCATCACTTGGAAAATTTGCCCTGTAGATATTTAATAACACACTCTGCTCTTTATGCAATCATTTTATTAGTATATACAAACTTACCTTCAGGATCTGTTTTAATTACAAATGTGTCATGCATAATACATGTGGAATCATTTCGATGAGTTCATTATCCTTTGCTTCCTTCTTCAGTTCACAAGTTTAATTGTAGCGTATCCATCATGTCTCCTCTCCTCCGGTCTTAAGATATCCACAGATATTTATCCAGCTGAAATTTAGAGAAAATAGTCCTCTGGCAGTCGGCCCTGGTTGGGTTCCACTTGAGAGAACGGTATTCATCTATGTACTGGAAAACACATGAGCACACGGCTACATTAAATCTATGCTTCTCCATCCCACACTCTGATTATGGAAATCGATTCACATATTATAGTGATCAAATTCTTTCCCAAATGAAACCTGAAGCAGTCAAGGAGATTAGCACTGATCTCACATTTTGAAATTTTGTTTCTAATCTGGATTTGGAGGAAAGTACTGTGGCCTCCCTGCATACTTAACCTCCCAACTTTGCCAGGGAAATATGAAGCTTAATTAGATTTAGGGTGAGGCTACTTGCTCCTCTGACATTTAAGTTTCTATGAATGTTGAATCATGAAATAATTGCAGGGGAAACATTAAAAGAAAAAAGGGCCTTTCTCCAAATCAAAAGCAATTTGAGGGCCGGGGATTTAGCTCAGTGGTTTCACTGCCTGCTGTACAAGCGCAAGGACCCGAGTTCGATCTCAGGTACAAAAAAAAAAAAAAAAAAAGCAATTTGAGAAATCCCAGGATCCCTGAGGCTGGAGGGATGGAAGGGTAATTAGTTGGTAGATACTCTAATATTTATTGGACACGGTGGACTAGGAGCTGATTCTCACAGGAAGTGCCAAATAAAATGCCAGAGACAGTGAAAATAAAGAGATAAACCTTAAAGAAAGCTGAAGCCCTTCTAAAGATTTCTTAAAAACAGTAAGAAGTTATTAAAATTGGATGGTGGGTTAAACATCCAGGGAAATGGGTTTGTTTTTTTTATTATTCTAAGAGTAGGTGCCCTTAGAAGAGGTCTAATGCAATTGGAATTCAAGGGCCTGGGTGAAAGGGAAGCTAATTTGAGTAGCCACCAAAGAATGAATTTGAGATCCACACCAAAAAAAAAAAAATAGTTTTCTGTCCCAATCAGGAAAAATGAGACCAGTGAGAAATAGTTCTGCCCTTATACTAGAGAAAATGTTTTGTACCTCTTTATTTCCTACAGAGACTTCTCTGATAAATGATGTTTCCATTTAAGATGCCTCCTCACATCCTCCATGAGCACACGCAAACCAACAATGTTAGATATGTGCAATTTATCACCATTCCATGCCTTTCTCATCTGCTCTAAAACTGTACTGTCAACAGTACCATCTTCATTGGAAAAGTCAGTCATTCGTGAATTGGAATAGGCCTCACAAGTGACTGAGACAGTGCAGGGTGTCTGCTCACCCTGGCAGAGATGAGCAGATGAGAAAGGGCAACTGGAAAAGCCTAAAGAGGGCAAAGTGTCCGGATACTTGTCAATGAGCTCATGAGAGTCACAGGTTAAAAGGTTTATGTCTTAGTTACTTTTCTCTTGTTGCAGAGACAAAATACCCGACATCCAAAATTCAAGGGGGGAAGGTTTACTTAGCTCACAGTTTGTAGAGGTTTCAGTCCCTAATCCACTGGCTCCAAGGCGGGTGGCACAACAGAGGGGCATCAGGAGGAGAAACAGTTAATGCTAGGCGGAAGGTAGCAAAACAAGCAAGCAACCTTAGCAGCATTTTTCTGCCCCTTTTATGCTCTATCCAGGCTACTGGATTAGGGCAGTGCCAAACCAATTCGTGGACTGATTTAGTAGTCGCACAGCCTCAATCCCAGCATCACACACTCTAGATCCAGCCTCTCCACCTCTGGAGAAGCCCCAGCTATGACTGCATGAAGCCTTGGGGAACATGTGGACACAGCCATAATAAATGAGATGTTCCCCGAAGACCCCATCTGAGCCCCGTGCACACAGGGGCGGAGATTTCACTTCTGCTCTCGCACTCTCCTGTATTCTGAGGTAGGAAATTAAGACGCGTAGAATTCAACCCTAATTTGAAAAAATACAACGAACACATTTCAAATTCTGGAAATATTCTGAAAGAGTACTAGCTCAGTTCTAGAGAAATACTTTTTATTAGTACACGTTTGCGATCATCCTGATTACAGTCACGGTGGGGAGTCGGTACACGGACGTGACGCATCTTCGTTCTCTTCACTCCCCCAGCCTCCGTCCCTCGGTCTCCTCCCTACTGGCAAAGGGTCTATCTCCTTGCTTCCTTTCATCTATCTTTTATTTAAAGTAATACTTTTCTAAACAATATTCTATAAGCCCCCCGCGGAGCGGCGGCATCTCTCGCGGTCCGGGCCAAGCGGCGCTCCTCGGCTGCGGGCAGGAGGACAGCGCAGCTCCCGCGTGTGCAACATCTGAAGAGATTTGCTGGATGTGAAAAATAACTTTCCCAAACCACCTTGGTGTTGTGCTGTGTTTGTTGGGACGATGTTTGGGAGACTGAGTCTTCCGCAGCTGCTTTTCGCTGACATCGTGGGAATTGCTGGAAGAATATATATTTATCAACCAATATTTGAACAATATTCCAAAGATCAAAAGACGTTAAGAAAGAAGGTGGAATTAACAGAAGAATCAAAAGAGAAGAGAAGTTAATGCTACATGGAGTTGAACTGTAATAACTGCATAAAGTTCGATTGGACTTGACATTCACAATAAGGAACCTAGTAAAAACTTAGATATATATTTTAAATATAAATAAATCATATATAATGATTGTGGACGATTTAAAAAAAATATTCTATAAAAGGTAGATTGTAAAACAAGAAGTTGACCACCCGGGGAAATTGCTTCGGATTTCAGTTTTTTTCACAAACATGAAACTAAAATCTCACCACAGGGTATTGAAGCCTACAGAGGAAGACCAAAATGTCTTTCTCATTTCATGTCTTTTAAGAAGTTTATTTTATAACTCTCTCTTATCTGAGCTGTGGTACTTATTGTCACTACCATTCAGACTGGCATTTAGTCACATATACCTTGTAAGTTTAATTTTCCTATGTCTTATTTCTCCAATTAGATTATAAATTGCAAATAATCAAGATTGTACCCCTCTCAGCCTTCCGGCAATGCCAGGCACAAACAAGATATTCTGTTAAGTGCTTGTATGATTAAATGATTAAGCAAATCTAATTAATTTCTACACTGCTTTAAGTCATTCTTTCTTTCCAGCTATTATTCTCTGTGGATTTATTTAAATGTTATTACAATTAAAGAAAAACAAATACACATGTGTATAAAATACCTAAAGGCAACTGACATGTTATAAATTGAGAGTTAAGAAAAATGCCTGAAATATATCTGCTTTTTAATATTACATCAAACACTAAATACACTTTTAATCTGAGAAATTCCTTTTAGTATAGCAATACTGGTGAGTTCTTGGGGAAAACACTGAAATGCATATCTACATCTAAGAAATCTTCTTTCGCAGATTAAACTGCTTACAATATAAACTGCATTTACTTTAATGCATCATTCGAGTGGTTTTCTTTTGCATCTTTTGCTATTGAAAGTTATCTTCTGGGGTCACTTCCTTCAAGAAGCTCATATCAAGATACATCTGAGAAAATAATAGTCTAGGCAAGATAATTGAGAATAACCTAATTCGGAGATTGAATTAACCCACATTATTACTGTAAGAATTAAAGGTAGGCAGTGCCCAGTCATACGTCCCTTGCCAGATTTGCAGAAATCCCAACCTACAGAGCAGCACACAGTCCAGTAACTTGATCTCTCATGTTGTCCCCACTACGGGGAAAATTACCCTGAGGAAAAGAGGTCAACAGAAAGCCACCTGGTGGCAACCTGAATTTCTCAAGGAACAGAGCGAAACACCAGGTTAGATCGGTGCTCCTCAATCCTGGCTGAAAGTAGAAACCTGGGAAGCTTTGAACAATACCAGTGCTTCTCTGCCACCTCTAGAGGTTCTGCTGTCTTTGTCCGGGAAGGTCCGGGACATCGGTAGTGTCACATGCTCCTCAGATGGTTGCACTGTACAGGCTGATTGAGAACCAGTTGATTACAAATTAGCTTTCTAAAAACAATGCTTACACATCCAGTACGAATTCTATAGTTGGAACTGCCCTTGAGTAAGGCCCTCTCTATGTAGACTTACACGTGTGTTAACACAGACATGACACCAGCCTGCCTGTAGCTTTCCCAAGAAAGCCACATCCAATGTATATTATGGGTAGCTAGGGCCAAAATTGTAAAGACCAAGTTTATAATGTTAAATCTTTAATTGTCTTGCAAGTCCATGGACACTTGATCTTAAATGACAAAAGATACATTAATCTAATTTAAATGGGAACAAAAGTAGAAGGGCTGGGGATGTAGCTCGCTGGTAGAGCACTTGCTTAACTGGCTCAATGGCCTGGCTTTAATCTCCAGTACCACAAAAGAAGGTGGGTGTGGATTTAAACAGCTGATAACTGGAAAGGACCAGAATAGATCCCGCATCCACCATGCTCCAAAGTCACCAACACTTGGTCCCCACTGTCTCTCGTGCTCCCTTGCTTCCCTCTGTTGATGTTATCCTGTCTGAACGTATCTGTGGGTGGTGGGAACCCCAGGTTCGCGTCTTTGAAACATTCTGGCCTGAGGGGCCACAGACAGTCTTCCCACTCTTTGAAGATAAAGTTCCCAGACAGGGATTCTTGCTGCCCTGAATTGGATCACAGCCTGGTCTTACAAAGCAAAATCTCAAAATATTACCTATCTATAAATACAGACGTGACAATCAAACTGAGTTTTAAAACATTAATGGGGAAAAAGTAGGAAGAGTAGAAGACCAGTATGAAGACCTCTATGTTTGGAGAAAAAAATTATCTAACATGACGCACAGTGGTTGAATTAGAGAGATAGCTAAAGCTCCTATCAAGACTTTTAAAGAGATGCATTTGATTTGTGTTCTGAGAGCTAAAAGGTACACAAAAGAATTTGAGCAAAGGAATGAGATAATCAGATTTGTTTTTAGGAAGATTACTTTGACACATGGAGATAGACTCAGAGGATGAGTTTTACAAATAGAATACTGCCGGGGGACTGCAGTTACCCCCAGGAAAAGAAATCTAAACTTATCAAGGCAGTGGTAAGACAGAGACAGGAAGTGGATTCAAGGGACTTAGAAAGTGTTATCTACAGTAACTGGATTGGGCATAGGGTGCTCAAAAGGGGAGACAATGCCTGGTGATTCATTGGTTTCTGCCTTGGGAATCTTGGAGGACAGGGCTTCTCTGTTAACTCAGAGAAGCAGGCTTGGAAGAGACAGATTTTCAGTTCAGTTAAGCATTTTAAATTAGGGTTAATGGAGAAAATGAAAATGGTAGCCAACTCATGCCATAGAGTCAACTGTAAGACCAACTTAATTGTGCAGTCGCAGTGGTAGATGATCGGTGCACAAATAAAAGTTACTTCTCAGAACAAAAGGAGAACCGGGATGCGGAGCTAAATGAGATTTCAAATAAATGTGGAGGAAAGACAAGTTAGTAATCAACCCCACATAGAACAGTGCGGTCAATCCAGATGCCACGAATCCCCAAAGAGGTCTAACAGGAGAAGGGGCAGAAGTTTCAAAGTGGTGTTGAGGTCAGAACGATGACCTTGTCCCTGCCCAGATCGGCCCATGCCTGATCCAGTCTCCTAAATTCTCTTCAGTCGAATTCCTCTCTCTGCCTTACCACTGCCTTGGTAAGTTTAGATTTCCTTTCCGAGGGATAATTGCAATCTCCTACCTGGTTTCTATTTTTAAAACTTGGCAAAGACACAAATCAAGTGTTAACTCTGGAAAACAACTCAGGTGTCAGCTAGGACAAGCGGGTGCTTTCCTGAAGTTTTCTTCCATGTGGACTTTGCAGCATTCAGACCTCCTTTCCATGCTAGAGGAATCCCAGCCTAGGGTTCAGGGAGCAGCAGGTCTCAGGCTCGGGAGGTCACGGAGCCCAAGAAGGAGCAGACTCGCCCTCCTCCCGGAGTAGATATGCCCCGGCTTGGCCAACTTCAGCTTTTTCTCTGGTCCTCGAGACAGTCACGGAAGGGTACAGCGAACCTGAGAATTCCTCATGGTGCAAGCAGTGTTTAAATAAGCAGGACGAGAGGGGCACTGTAACACTGAGTATTCCACATCCGGTATCCTCTAAGGCTTGGTAGAGTGGGAGGCTGCCCAGGACTCACCACACGCTTAAGGCACCATCTCCTGTCAGGGGGACGCAGCCTTCTGTCCACCTATTCGGCAGGGCACGGCGGGAGTGATGAGAATTAGAAAATGGGAGTTGGTATAATTTAAAGCAATGCAATGTCCTGGCACTTTTTAACTCTATCAATTTTCGTATCTTTTTTTTTTCTTATTAGAGAATACAGACGGGTTAGAGCCCAATGGTGGCAGTGACAGAAGTCCTGACCCAGTGGCAGGGCCCGAGCTAAAGGACAGTGTGCTGGGTGTGGCCTGGAACTCCGGCTGCGCCCGGCAGCCTCTCTCACCTCCTCCACGTGTTCTGAGCCAGGTTCTCAAGTGCCAAGCGCTTTATCATCACAACTACCATTTTATCAAAATGCATAGAAATGAAAAGACTTATAAAATAGTCTCAGGTCATTTTTTAGTCCTTTTTTCTTCGATAATATGCAAAACAATTGTGTCATAGATTCGAGACCTAAAGCAAAATCACACAGTTGCAACTACAAATGTAATACCAGGGATATTATAAAAATAAAGTAAAATAAACTATCAGGGATATTATAAAAATAAAGCCCCCATAGGTCTCAGTGAGGCCGTAAAAGCCCAGATGTCCGTTTCACCCCTGAGGCAGACATCCCTGCCAGGTAAGTGGCCTCTGCTATATTCAGGCGGGCGGGTTGTGTATATATATATATATATATGAACAATAGCAGTTGTGTGACTTTAAAAAGAAATGTCTTGACATTTATAGAAGAAAGTTTTGTAACATGTTGACTCCCACAGATATTCTAGCATTAAACTGTGGAACACTGGAAAAACATGACATAAAAACTTGAATAGTGGGTCAGGGATTTAGCTCAGTGGTGCAGCCACCTGCCTCGAAAGTGCAAGATCCCAAGTTCAATCCCTGGTACCAAAAAAAAACAAAAAAACAAAAAACTTGAATAGGAAGTAAGCTATTCAGGAAAATCTAAAATACATTTTGTATAATGGCAATTTTCACCATTTAACAAATGCTTGGGAATACCTTAAATGAAAAGGCACAGATTTATAGCCCCTAAATATTTTAGAAAATAATTATTTCTTTCTGTTTTGTTTTTCTGTCCAGATCTCACAGTGGTGCCCAGGCTGGTCTTAGCTCCTGAGCTCAAGTGACCCTCCCACCTCAGCCTCCCGAGTAGCTAGAATTACAGGCTGGGCTTGAAAATAATAGGCCAGCTTGAAAATAATTATTTCTATGTAGAAAAGAATTAACTAAGTGCTCTCTTAGTATTATAAATTCCATCGCTTTACCTGGAAACTACACATTTATAACTGAGCTATTATAGAGTGGCTTATGTCATTAACTTTCACCAGTTAATAAATATGGAAGAAAATCACTGTACTTAAAAAAGGATATTTTTCCCCCTAAGTAAAGTATGATGCCCACCCTCGGGAACCTGCCATCTTTAAGACCCTTCCAGACCTTTCTATGCCACTGTT